GGCTGACGCGCCGCCCGCACGCCGCACCTGGGCGATCGCGGCGGCCAAGCCCCTGCTGGACCCAGGCGTCTGCCGGAGGACACGGCTTCCCTCCGCACGCCCGCCTCTCCCTGAACGCAAAACGCTCAGCTGTGGCTGAGACCTGCATAAGCCGCGCCTGGGAACGCTGAGCTGCCCAGAGTCAGACCTGAGTCACCACACTCTCGTTTTGAATTGACTAAAACCGACACGCAATGTTATGTAAATTTCGGTGCAGAGTGTGTTACTTTGATGCATTTATGTGTTGTAACAGGGTTCTCCCTGAGCGGTGTTTATCACATGACAATTACAAAATGATCGTCTGTATTCACGATTCGGTGCACAGACCCCGTATTTACTACCTAGCACAGGCTGCGCCCTTCAGCATCTCCAGCTCACCGCGATGTGCACTTCTGGGGGCCGGGACCCCGCCCAGCGCCTGCCAGCAGAACTTCTGACCCACGTTCCCCCTTGAGAACTGTGGTTTATTGACTAGTGGCGCCAGGGCGTCTCCGACGGTAACGTGTCGGCGAATCACGAAGTTCTGATTTGAAAATGCAGAGTCCGGCGGTGTGGTGGCGTAGACGCGGCGTGCGAGAGGCTCTCCCCGTCCGGTGCGTGTGCACGCAAGGTCACCTGCACGCTTGCTCTGCTGCCGGGGTGAGAGGGGCGGACTACACTCACCGGGCACGCATGCCACAGTTCTCGAGGAAGTCCAGTGGAGCAAGTCCAGGATGGGCCGCTCACACCGGTGAACCCTAAGGTCAGATGGGTCCACACAGTGCAGATGAGTCACCCCAGGGCAGGGTTGGAGACCACCCGCAGCTGTTCTCCTGCTCCTTCTGGTCCCTGCCAGCCTCCACAATGCCCCTTAGCTAGCAGTGAAGGATCTGAGGGTGCCCAGGCCCTGGGTGCAAAGCTCAAGAAACATTTCCTTTATCAACTCAACATTTTAGAAAAGATTTATTTACTTATGCATACAAGAACTGGGGTACAGGCCAGAGGTGCAGAGGGTGAGAGGATTTCCCAGAGACAGAGTGGGGAGCAGAGCTGGCAGATTGACTGCAATACACCGCTGAGGGAGCAGCGGGGAGACAGGAGGTCTGCCGGGCCACGTGGGTCAGGTCCCCTGCCAGGGATCGAACCCAGGCCGCAGTGTATGACAGTGGCCTGATAGCATAGTGTCTTTAATCTCTGCACCACCAGGGAGGTCAGCTTAACATTTAAGGAGCCAATTGTCTTCGAATTGAGCAAGTGAGGCCATTTTTTTATCTAAATCCAAAAGGGTAATTGCCAAACTGTTTTTCCAGATTTGGGTGTAATTTAATAACGCTGAACTTGAATTTACATCTGCTTACTATTCTGTACCAAAAAAAAAAAAAAAAAAAGAGGCAGTCCCATCTTCTTTCTGTTACCCGCTCCTGTACGAGGCCAGTTCCAGGTTTCACACAACAGTTACAGGGTGAAATAAAAAAGAGAACATGGAGACTTCATATCAAGTTACTCTAGGGAGAGAAGGCTGAAATATCGCATTATCCTAATGAATTATTAAAAAATCACCTTTGATCCTAAGTAACTTGCCATCTATACCAACCGTGTGCATGTGTGGCCCATGAATGTCACATTTTAAAATGCTTGAAAAAAACAAACATTAAAAGACAACACTTTACGGCATGAAAACTATCAAATTTCAGGTCCCCTAAGTAATGTTTTACTGAAAACACAAACCCACGTATTCATTGTCGTCTGCCCTGGCCCTGTGGCTGGCAAAACTGAAAAATATTTCCTGCGAGCCCTTCTGAGGGAAGCTTGTCCTGCCTTGCCTTGCACAGCATCTGTTTGTTGCAACGCAGATCGGACTGTTAACTAGGTTAATTAGGAAAATTTGTGTGCACAAATTAGGAAAAACATTTTGCAAATAATTCCTTGCTTCTACGTCTAAACCTGGTTTTAAAACATTGTTGTTCAATCTGAAAACACCAGGGCTATTCCCCTCCCTCCATTCTATCAAGTCATTTTACTTAGCACAACAGGTCTCACTGCTGAACAATTCCATGGCAAAGAAATTAACGAGCACAGGAAACCCAACCTAGTGAGGCTAAATTCATGTGAATTAAATCTAACCTTGGTATTTCTGGAGTTAATGTTTTAAGATGATGTGTGCAGCTGTCAGATATTTAAAAACTAGGCATTGACCTTTTCTCCACAAAAAACAAGCAGGATCTTTCCTAAAAAGTCGATGGAATTTCCCAAGCAATTGTCACAGAGATGGCCCATCTTCTATAATTTCGGGAATAACAAGCAAAGATTGGAATAAAATACATATGGAGGATTTCATTCATTTGGGGGAATAAATCCCTAATCGTGAACAGAATGACAGCACTGCCAGAACAAGTCACGTGACCTGCCACGCGGCAGATGATTGTATTGGGGCCTGTGCAGCCTGGAATCCTCTGACCTGCTGCTCCTCTCTTGAAGGCTGGGATCAGGTTGTTGGGTCTTGGCATCCCAGCAGCAACTTTTTAAAGGAAATAACGCCTTGCTAGTGTCTAGAAATGTACACATCTCAAATGAAATGTAGCTTGATTCGGGGAGCCGTCAAAGAGGGAAGGACTGAATGTGCGGTGGGTCCTGAACACTCAGTCTCAGGACCAGCAGCAGAGCTGTCTGTGACAAGTCGGAGGCACTTTATACCTCGTGACACGACATCGGGACTAGACCCTTCAAAACATTTTACTTTCACGGGAGTCGGGATTTCAAACATTTCACAGAAGATTCTGAAAGAGGATGTGTATCAGGGCCCTCCCTGGTGGCGCAGCACAGCACCGAGAAGCTAAATACACTTCAGCATGAGTTCGATCCCCACTCCAGAGGTGACCCACATGGCGCGGCAGCCCCAGGGGTGACCCACATGGCGCCGCAGACCTCTCCTGACCCGCCTGCTGCTCCCCTCAGCAGTGTACTTTGTCAGTCAGCCTGTTCTGCTCCCCACTGTCTCTGGTGAATCCTCTCTGTACCCCAGCTCTGTATGCATAAATAAAACTTTTTTTTTTAAAGAGGATGTGTATCAGCCTGCACAGCTTTTTTTTTTTTATAGTCAATACCTGTGTAAGATTTAGTCATAAAAAATCTTAATCATAAAAAAGGGATTAAGCATCTGAAGATGTTGAAGATCACTGGCTTAGTCCAACCCTGTCACCTCATAAAGGAGAAATGAACAAACAGCCACCATCACAGCCAGCGTTATTTTCATTAGAAGCAACAGACAGGTAGTCATTAAGTGACTCAGCCCAGGCTCCTGGTAGCTCATGGCAGAACTGGAAGTTTGTATCTCATAGAATTCTGGAAGCTTTTTTACAAAAACCTGCCACGGGGGTAGCATTGTCCCTGGGATAGAGTTCACACTTCTGGTCCAGTTTCCACCCCACGTTTGCTGATAGCTGCTATTCTTAAGACTAGGCTGTAAGAGCCATCATCCACATACTTTATCAGAAAGTTCCAGAAGTGAGCAGTTTTGCTTTTTCACAAGGCAAATCTCAAGTGTAGGCATCAAAATGAATGCAACGGCCGAGACAAAACTGTTTTTAGAAGATGAATAAAAGTGCAGTTTGAATCTACTGGGAAATGTTTCTGAAACACTTACCACCTAGTAGGAAGTAGAACACTTTCTTGGCCCTTGGCAAAATGTCAGATGTTTAAAAATAAAATCAGAAACAAACGCAGGCTGTCCCGGGCTGTTTTAAAAAACGGCATAACCTCTGTGGAGTCCAGTTCCCCAGTCCAGAACGCAGAACAGCAGCAATAAAATGTAAATCTGAGGTTGTTTTATTTAATTACCAGATAAGAGCCTCAAGGTAAGTGTGGTCGCCCTTCTCTGATTATCTTCTGAGTGGCAGTGTGTGCCGATCACCGCTCTAGGGTATGCTCTGCCTTTTCTCCTTTAACCTTGCTAGTACTTCTGTGAGAAAGGGTGGCGTCCCGCTGAGAGCCCCAGCCATGGCTGAGCTGGTGTCCTGAGCTGCCAGGCCTGAACCGGAGCCCACAGGCGGCGGAGGCCGGCTTCCGATTGCAAAAGGTGGGCAGAGCCACGCTCCCGGGTCAGAGGCCAGCGGTCCGAGTTCCTTGGTGGCGACCACACACACCGGCCTGTCCTTGGGCTTGTCTTGTCTCTGTATCTGACGCTGTTCCCGGACAGAGGGTCACCTCACATCCAGGACCTCATGCCGAGAGCCTCAGCTAAGGATACCTACACAGCCCGTTTCCACGTGGTCATCCGTGGAGGCAAGACCACATTGCCTGCACAGCGCTCGCCGCTCAGCCAACCGTGGGAAAGTGCTGCCTCCCCTTTTCCACTCAGCATTGCTCTGGAGCACCCCCCAACCTGTTGTCTCCCCATCATCTCTCTGGTGGGCAAAACAAGGCAGCAAACTGGTAACTTGGGTTTCCCCCATTTGCTGTGGGGCTGATCCTCTCTTCTGTGTATTTTAAGTCAGTAGTTTGAAATCAAAGTAAAATGCTTAAGGGGTGTGACAGAATCAGAGCCCCAGGGGTTCTCAAGAAGGTCAAGCCTCGGCTGAGGTCTGCAGGATCGTGTTCCAGCAGGGACTGGAGCAGCAGTGATGTTCAGCACACGGTGTGAGGCCCCGGACCAGCTTCTGGGGTTCACGATGCTTATTCTCGAGGGGAAGGATGATGACTTGACCCCGCTTCCCCAAACTGGTAGCTTGCCCCAAGTCCGCCTTGACACTCCCCACCTTACTGTGATTTGCAACCGAAACATGGAAATAAAAGAGACCGGATAAGGGAGCCCCTGAGGGCACTTTCCTCAGCAGTCTGCTAGGAAGGAAACCCAAGAAATGAAGAGGCACCTGCTGAAGTGGACACAGGAGAAAGCGGACGGCCAGCTCACTCCCCGTCTGCAGAGCTAGAAGGCCGCCGTAAATGGCACTCAAACTGGTGACAGTTTTTCTGGAGAGAAGCCAGCTACGGCGAAATCCCAAGATGGTGTGGAGGGCTGGGGTTCACTCTCCTGGCAGCCCCAAATGCCCAGCTGGCGTGGACATGAAAGGTTAGTGCCAGGAGAAGAAAAAAAGAATCCTGAAGAGGCTTTTACAATAAATACTTTTTAAAAAGCTCTCAAAAGACAAGTACTGTGTTAGAGAGGAATATGCTTTACAGACATCACCCACACCCCGCGCATCCATTACCCGCCAGGAGAGCAGGACGTCCAGCAGACAGCGCCTCCCGAGTCCAGGCGGCTACTGACCTGCTGGCCCCACTCGGGAGGCTGGAACCTGGCGCTGGTCTCAGCCACAGTAAGTTAGACTGTTGGTTTATTTGTATTTTATTTTATTTCGTTCTAAAACTGCTCTGTGTGCTTACATCGCCGTTCATCTCTGGACAGTATTTGATGTCTTCCCGCGGGTGCGGCCACGTCTCGGCCACCACCATCCCTCCCACGTGAGCCCCGCCCTCTTTCCGGCTGGATGCCCTGGATCTGTGGTCAGCTTGCAAGTTTTGTCTTTTTCTTGACCTTTTCTTCATGTTCTCTGTATTCCACACGTAAGTGAAACTACCAATATTTATCCTTTTCCTTCTTACTCGAGTTTATCTTTTTTGACGCCGAGTATCCCAGGGCTAACATACGCCACACCTGCTTGACCCACTCATCTGTTTTGAGGCTTTTAGGTTGTTTTCATATCTCAGTTATTGTAAATAGCGCTACAGTGAACACAGGAGTGCAGGTTCTTTTGCATTAGCGTCTTCTGTGTCCTCTGGGTAGGTCCCTGGCAGTGGAACTCCCTGGTCAGGTGGCAGACCCATCTTCAGCGTTCTGAGGGGCTCCCCAGCGGCTGGGCCAGGCTGGCTCCCACCAGCAGCAGGAGAGACTCCTGTCCCCACATCCTCCCCAGCATCTGTTGTTTCTGGTTTTCTGAATACGAGTCAGAATTGCTGGCCTACAGTCCATGCAGACCTGTGCCCTCCCTGACCTCAGCAGAGAGAATCCAAGGATGGGGAACTCTTCGCCGTCTCTCTCCACAAGGCACGCCTGTTCAATGGGCCCTACAGCCGGAGAGAGGCCGCACGCTGGAGAAGATGAAAGAAATCCTCCAACCTGAAAAGCAGCTATGAAGAAGGCAATGAGAGACCTGTATACCAGCTTGGATTAATTTTTACTGCATAAGAAATTACAGAGTGCAGAAATCATTAGGGTAACATCATTGATAAAATAAACCAAAATAAGTAAACATGATTATTCTGATCAAACAGGAAATAATTTAATTTTCAAAAATATCATAAACTCCCCAAAAGCAGCTTTTCTGGAGAGAAAATTTGCCACTTCATTTCCTTTGGTCTTTCCTCAGAAAGGCCAAATGGAAAATTGCTTAGGACGAAACACACAGAAAAACAACTTACATAGACGTGTAGCTCTCTGAACACCGAATATAACACAGAGACTCAGGCTGCCTGCTTTGCCCACGGCAGGGCGCGAGTTTGCCATCACAGTGACAGGCAGGCGGCCCGCCATGTAATTCATCTGCTGTGAAGCTGCCCAAGTGCGAGAACCAGAACACATGGCAGGAGAGGATTTTCCCGGGGGAAGCACCAAGCTACTCCAGATGCTAAAATGTCCATTCTTCATTCAATGGTTTGCTCTGTTCAAAGCAAAACTACAAATAAATATAAATGCCTCATTTGCTTGCAAATGAAGTTCATAGTATATATTTTTAAAAAAAGATTTAAAAATTCTTAATTTACTGTCATTAAATAAAAATCCGAATATACAGACACATTCAATATATATATAAATTGCAGAGATCAGGTCTGCGTTTCTTGCTCATAACCGACACCTTGTTCATCATCTACAGTACAGCTCACATCCCAAATGCAAGTTTAATTCTCCTGTAAGTGGCTCGCAATGATTTTTTTCTTTTTTCATTTAATTAAAAAAGATTCAATCTTGGAATTTTAGGATTTACATTTTGAGTTGTCTGAAAAAATACAATTTCAATGCAAAAACCACATCACGCATTCAAGAGAATATTGCTGGTGGTGTAATCTTTTTGCATGTCTTTGTTTTTATAGGACAAAACAATCAAACATATGACATGTAAGACTTTTAAGTGGTTAAATGCAACCACACAATGTTAATGACCTGCTTCATGCACACACACGCAAATTAAAAACGAAGGAGACAGGATCAGACATCTTTCTTTTGCATTTGTTCGAGCTTTCTTCTCAGAAGACTGTAATTCTCTTTCGTTCCTGATGCAGTGGGGTCCAGCTGCAGCGAAATTTCATAGTGTTTTTTTGCTAAATCTAGATGTCCCCATCGATGATACAGCACAGCTGAAACAGCAAGAGATGCATTTCAGTGGGAAGCCCTCTGGAGAACCTGCCGTAGGCCCCAGGAGCGCACAGAAACACCCAGGGCCTCTGCACAGCCCAGGCCGCATCACTGTTTAAAGTAACACTGTACTGCAGCCTTCACGCTGACCCCACCCCATCCTCTGCCACCCCAATTACCCGTCCGCAGGCACGACACAGGTCCCCACAGCAACACGACTCCATAAACAAGAACAGGAGGACCGTGAGCTGCTCAGTGTGCGGGAAACTTCCAGGAAGGCCCACGGAGGATGGGGCTCTAGACACGTGGCACCCTGCCACGCAAAAACAAAGACTCCCCCCACCACTTGGGGAAATAACAGATGTTTGTTGCGAGCTGGAGAGAAGGGGCTGAGTGTATGTGTGTTGTATATGCACATGTAACTAGACCATAAAGGACTACATAGGAAGACTATTCCCTCCAATACGGATGTTACAGAAATGTGCCCATTTCACTAAGGTGACATAGAATTCGAGTATGTTTCAAATGGAGAAGCTTCCTTACCCAAATTACCGTGGTAACTTGCCGCGTTTGGATGGGCTTTAATTGCTTTGAGGAATAAAGCTTCAGATTCCTGAGAAACGGGAGACATCAAAACCAGGCGTCATGCACTATGCAAACACGAGCTTCACCTCCCACGAACGCTGGTCACGCTCCCTCGGTGCTGGCAGCCCAGCGGGGCTCCCCCGGCCAGGGCACTTTCAGGACTCACCGTTGCCTTCTGCAGGTGGCCAGGCAAGGCTGGGAGCGGTCAAGTGACCGCTGTTGGGGACAAGGGTGGCACCCACATGCTCGCTCATGCTAACATGTCACGTACCCTCTGGAAGCTGCTGGTCAGTGTCCAGGCATGTGCTGGACAGCAATGTGGACACCAAGTGGGACCCACGGCTCTGGCCTCAAAGAGCTTTCTCTTAGGTCAACGACAGGGGACATGGCGGGGTACACCTGCACCTGACTTACAGTGATGCAACCCTGAACCTACGAGCTGATCTACTGTGGGCACCAGGATGCGCCTGTTCTGGGGTTAATGATGACACGAGCCAGCAAGTGCTCGATGGACAGCAGGTGCTGTCCCGCCAGGGATGAGTGCCAGCGTCACCGTCCCGCCACGCCACGGCCTTGCTGCGGCCTCCTGCGCCCCACTGGAGCTCACACGCCCTGGACTGCAGTCTCATTGCAGGCTCGGTGCCTGGTCTGGAGAATTAGGCTGTGAAGGGTGTGTGTGGGGGAGGCCATTGCTCCATTTTGCTACGGGGTCTTTCCTACTTCACGGCAACACGAGGAGAAGCGAGCTGGAAGCGCAGTGAAAGGCCGGTTCTGTCGCCTTACCAGAGACCCCAGTTTGCGGGCGCGGGATGAGAACAGAGTAGATACAGAGGGGCCGAGCCACGGCGCGACGCCTACACACTGCAGCCGGCCCCGGGCGCTCCAGACCGGGCCAGCGACACCGGGGCCGTCAGAAGGGCCACCCCCAAACCTCCCCACTGCAAGGAGCTCCACAAGCCCCTCCGAAAGCCCAGTCCCACAGCAAATCCAGCATGCTGAAATGTTCACGGGAGCCGCCGAGCTCCCTGACACGCACATACAAGAGCCTTGCGTGGCGTGACCTACGACTCTTCCAGAAAGCCACACTGACAGGGACGCCTCCGGGCCGCATGGGACACAGGCTGGGCCATCACTGACCTTTGGCCGACAGTGACAGAAATGAGAGACAGCCTGACTCTGGGAGAAATCTGAGTGCCTCTGTACCGAGAGCTGGACCTGCAGGATGCTGGCTAGCGGGCACGGCTCCCCCGGCTTCCCGTGGAGATGGGGAGCTGGGCGTCTGCACTCAGCACGCTCCTTGAGACCCGCTTCAGGGGTGAGACCACAGAGCCCCCCAACCTGGAGCCCTGCCCAATTCAGCTGATTAGATCCTGGGCACCCTGGGAGGGCCTGGACGTCAGACTCCATGTTGTCACCAGTCAGTCACCTCCAGGACCTTGCGGAAGAACCAAGCACTGACACTAGACGAGGATCACTGGGGGGCAAGAGCCGCGAGTCCCCACGGCCCTGCGCTTAGAGCCCACACACCAGCCCTGAGCGGCAGCCTAGGGGCAGAACACCCCCAAACTGCTGCCTGCAGGTGGGGTGGGGGCATCTCCTTACGCTGGAGCGACAGTGGGGGATCCCGGTAACAGAGTTTGGCTCCACAAATTCACCGTTCAGGCCACCTTCTCTGGGAAGTTGGCCACGTTCCACTGGTCCACTAGCTGCCACTGAGTCGGCCTGACCTGGGGGGTAAGTGGGCAGAAGCCCCACTCGGCCTCTGTCTGAGGCTGGCGTGAAGTTCCAGCGGTCACGGCCTGCAGGGTACACACCTTGTATTTCTGGGACTTCCCCAGCACGTTGGCCAGCGAGAACATGAGAGAATGGTCATTCGGTATCAACGCCAGGGCCTCCCTGCCCACTGCTTCGGCCTGGGCTAAATTTCCTGCAAGTGAAAAGCAGAACACGCGTGCGTGAGGCACACGGTTATGGGTAAACGGCTTCGGAAGCCAGTGCCGTCTGTGTAGTTTGCACACACGTGTGCACACAGCACCCGCCAGCCAGAGCCACCGCCACGAGGCCCCGCTCTGAGGCACATACGCACACACGATTAAATCCATGAGAGCACAGGATCCCGACACCCCCCACCGCCTACCGGTCGCGGTCAAAGCGGAGAGACCCAGGCTGCGTTCTGAGAGCGCAGCGACGCTGGCACGGCCGAGCGGCCACGGTGCTGAGCTCGCGCTGCCGCTCCCACGAGCGGCCGGGGCCTCTCTCTTCCCCGCTCTGCTCACATGGCCTATGAGCTTCGAATTCTGTCAAAATTGCGACCCCCATTTCCTTCGGGAGGCTTGGATTCTTAGGGGAGCCGGGCCCTCGCTGGTGGCTCGGGTTAGAGCGTTTCCCGAGGAAGCTGCCCGCAGACCCTGCAGTGCGAGTTCGATCCCGGCCAGGGAGGGACCCACAGGGTGCAGCAGACCTCTGCTGTCTCCCCGCTGCTCCCCTCAGTGGTAGATTTTAGCCAGTCTGCCTGTCCTGCTCCCCACTCTGTCTCTGGTGAAACCTCTCCCCACCCCCCAGCTCTGGCCTACACCCCAGCTCTTGTATCCATTATTAAAACAACGAAGGGGCCCTCCCTGGTGGTGCAAAGAGAGTTAGGACACAGCACTGCAAGCTGCAGGTTCTTCCGCGTGAGTTCGATCCCCGCCTGCTCTGGAGCTGACCCACATGGCGCGGCAGACCTCTTCTGACCCGCCCGCTGCTCCCCTCAGCAGTGGGCTTCGTCAGTCGGCTGTTCTGCTCCCCACTCTGTCTCTGGGGAATCCTCTTACTGCCCCTGCACCTCTGGCCTGTACCCCAGTTCTGCATGCATAAATAAATAAATCTTTAAAAACAATAACTAGGGAGCAGAATAACGTGTAATTCTGGAGTCTGCCGTGGGCTGGAAGCCAGACCCCACCTCTGCCGAAGGTACGAGCCAGAGCGTAGCTTTGGGGCAGCCCTTAGTCCCCGACCTCGCCACACAGGCCTGACGGTGCTGCTCTCACAGGCCCGTGACACGTCATTCTCGTTCACTTCTGGGCTGAGGGGGCCCGGGTCCCCGGGGAAAGAGACAGTTGGAGAAAGTGCCATTTCCCCCGAACACTCGAGAGGCAGAGGGAATGCCCACTTTTAGAAGAGCAGACCTTCCCAACGCAAACCATGAAGCTGGTGGCTTAGGAAACCTGGCACACGGCAGAGAAGCAGCAGGCCCTGCGCTCTGGGCCGTCGGGAGGCCTTGCCGGCGGCGTCCGCACCTGTGTTGTCCAGGAGGATGATCATGTTGTTCCAGGCCAGGCTGTGCTCTGGCCTCAGCACCGTAGCGTTTCTCCAGGCGTTCAAGGCGTCCACGTGACGGTTGAGATCTGCATACTGGGAAGGAAATGGGACCCGTGCTCAGTTTAAAGTTCCTCTTCCCGATGCTGACACTACCGAAACCAAACCCAAGCCAAGCCTGAGCAGTGCTATTGAACTCCTGCTGGGTTTTTTTTTTTCCGTAGAAAATGATCTAATTCTGAAAACAACCTCAGAGAAGTACCTACCTATCCCTACTTCACCGATGAAGAAACTGCCCAAGTTATGCATTGAAAATGGGTGGGGCTGGGGAGTGAGGCCCAGGAAGCCTGTCTGGGAATCCACCTCCCTCCTACCAGGATCCACCTACCTGTTATATAGAGCCCGAACTTAGAGGTTCCAGAGGTCGGATCATGTCTCAGGCTAGTCAAAGCCCTAATCACCAGCCTCCCTGGTGGCACTGGGTTACACGCAGCACTGCAAGTTGCTGCAGTTGTTTCGGTCCCCGCCCCGGGGGTGACCCCCAGGGCGCGGCAGCCCTCTCCTGTCTCCCCACTGCTCCCCTCAGTAGTGTACTTCTTCGTCAGTCGGCCTGTTCTGCTCCCCACTCTGTCTCTGGTGAATCCTCTCACCGCCCTGCACCTCTGGCGTGTATCCCAGCTCTGTGTGCATAAATAAATAAATCTTTTTTTTCTGGAGATGCCTTAAATTCTGACAAGGAATTGTACAAAATGGTAAAAAAAGAAAAAAAGTAAGGTGATTAGAAGTCAAATGTGTCCAGTTCACCTTGTGAAGAATGTTCTAAGTATCTGCTCCCTGCCTACCTACATCCAGGCTTCAGAACAAGTGACGCATTTAAGCTGTGGACCACCGAGAGCGTCTGTGCTCTCCTGTGATGCCCCTGGGCATTCAGGGGCCTGCCTGCCCCTTGAGGAAGGAGAGAACTGTCTGTTTCTTCTGAGAGGATTCTCAGAAGAATTCTTTGGATTCACATGGAAGCCGCCAGGGCTGGCTCCCAATTTGCATAGTGAATGAAAGCGCAAGAGGCAGAAAGGCTGAGCTTTACAGCAGGTGACCCACTCGCCCTCCTTGCCACGGTTCAAACGCTCAGCACATCTCATCCGAATGACTTTGGATGCTTCAGCTCTGCAAAACGTACAAGTGATAACAATCTGTCAGCGTTTGGGGCTGTTTCCTTCCTGTCAAGGCTGCCTTTTCCTTGGAGAACAGAAACAGTTTGACTTAGTCCATGACCCACACAGCAAAGAGGTGGCAACATTATGCAGAGAAAGAAAGGTTTAATGAATTATGGAAACATCTACGAACATCCATTCGCTAAAGATGTTGTCACAATTTCCCATGAGGCGCAAACTCAAGTTACAGTATTTTACCCCTTAAATGAAGAAACGCTATGAGAAATTCAACAACTTAAAATAACTCGGGCTGCTGCATTATCCCAACACCACCGCGATGTGCGGTGCTCCACTTCCGTCACTCGCTCCAGTGCCCGCGTCCCAGGACAGGACCGTGCCGACCTTCGAACCTGAAAGCCCACCCCTCGCTTAGGCGCCAACAAGATTCCTTCCCCACTTTACTACTGATTACTACTGTTCCTGCTGCCCTGCACTGAAGAACAGACAGAACCAGGTGAGCCTCTCTGCTCACATCTGCATGAAGTGCAGAAAACTGTGACTCAGTCAAGCGCTTCCCGCGCAGAAGGTAGATGAATTATATGCATTTAGCTACCGATTAGTCTTGGTTCCGTGATGCCAGGGCGAGAGTCTGCCAACCACATTTCCAGCAGAAGCCCCCACGGCCCTCTCCCCTGCCCTCTCCCTGGCATTCTGAGAAAAGGCGAAGTCCCCCATCCTGGGCTCAGGCTGGAGCAGGGCTCTTCCTTCTGGATTCCAGCTCTTACGACTGGGGCAGCTCCTGAGCTGGGGGCCCCTTCCCTGAGTTCTCAACTTCTGCTTAATGTACCTCAGCCCTTAAGTCCACCGAATCTTCCTCTCTGTTTCTCCAAACCTCGGTGTCCTCGTCACCCCTGCTTGAACATGACCACAAGTCTGTCAGCGCCCTCAGAGCAATTCCTGCTTCAAATCTTTTCCACTGAAAATACTTAGTGTGGTTTCTGTTTTCTTCAGTGGCTCTGCACTGATATACTTAGTCCCTGACTAATTAATTATATTTATAAAGATGCATACATGCACACACAGCGCTCTCTCGCGCTCTCTCCGTGGACAGCGTTATACCTCCAGTCACGAGCCCTCTAGCCCCTTAACATCAGTCAGGCGTCTCAGGGCATCCAGCTCTTCCCCACTCCCTATCTCACAAGAACGCATTCTATTCCTTTTATCTGGCTTCAGAAATCAAAATGCATTTCTGTCTTCTGTTACTAAACAGGGACTAAGGAGGACTTTTACAAAAGAAACTTTTAAGTTATTAAGTTCTGCTTACTCGTGAATATATAAATGTGTTTGGTTGAGCTGTTAAAGATTAAGTTCTTAATGCTTTTAAGCTGTCAAGCAGGCAAAAGCTGGATAATTAAACAACAATGGGGAGCACAATCTTTAAATAAGCAAGCGCAGCTGGCAGAACGGAACACAGGAGACCATTTCACGGTCGCATAATTAGTAAACAATATCCACAGAGGCCAGGACCAGGTCTCGGGCTATTTACTGCCACACACGATCGTGAGTGTGAGCCCGGCGATGGGTGGCAAGGGCTGGCGCACACGATGTTTCTGCATTTTACTCTGCGTCCCTTTCTTCGGGTGTCACTCTGACAAAGGCTCATTTAGCACAAAACCTCTATTTTCCAGATCCCAGGAAGCGCAGAGGCAGGCAGCTGCTAGGCGAGGAGAAGGCCAAGTCCATCAAGAAGGCACAGGCGGGCCAGCCAGTAGGGGAAGCTAGCCAGGCCTCACGCCGTCGCTAGCAGTGTCCTGCCAGCCCCACGCCGGCACCCAGCCACGGCCGGCGCCCACCTCACTCGCTGGCCTGTGTTGAGTTTTCGGTCTCGGCTTCGATTGCTAAGGCAAAGCTTCTCTGCCTCCCCAGCTCCCTCCTCACAGAGAACGGTGCAGGGAGCAAAGAATGTCACCCCAGTGCCCCACTTCGGCATGAAGATGATTGCACACAAGGCCCGTGAGCTCAACAGATGCAGAGAGCAGCCCAGAGCTTGCGGGATTCTGGGTCACGCAAAGCCGAAGAAATCGCGGGGACGGCCCCCCTCTCTGGAGGTTTCAGACCCGCACTGACCGCCGTCCGTCACCGCTTCCCCACGCCGCCCCTCCCCACCCTCCCGGCTCCCACTTCTCTGCCACGTTACTCTCCTTGGCCACTGCCACGGGGCTGCTGGCCGCTCCGGAAGCCCAGGCTCTGACCTGGCTCTGACCTGCTCCTCGCTGAGCTTCGCCCTGCAGCTCGGCCGTGTTCATGAGCTCTGCTCCCTCGGTCTGTCCGCCTTTGGCCAGCCTGGCCTGAGGGCGCTCGTCAGAGACCGCAGGCGGGCAGAAGGAAAGGCTTTTCCTCCTCTAGAACAATCTCAGCTTTCCCTGAATCTTCAGGTCTCCTGGAGAAGCTGTCTCAACGCAACGGAGTGAACCAGCTCACAAAACGCAGGATTTTTAAGTGTACATGCCAAGCAGAAATGTCTTCGAGGGCGCGTGGCCCTGAGGAAGTGACACAGGACGAGACACACTCGCTGTCTCGCTCCCACGCGGACACCTTGCGGCTCGGGACTCAGTCCCGTTCTGCTGCTTCCCGGTGTCAGGGAGGAACATTCCTGCTCCGTACTCGAGTTAGTGCACGCAGGGCGTCTCCGAGGAGACGGAAACCTGGCTTCTGCTTATTACTAATATTATCCAAGTTGCTGCAAAAGACATGTGTTTCTCTTTTTTGGTTGCTGAGTATTACTAATATTATTAGAACGTGCAAGCCACCTAGACACAGCTGGCATCGGCCCACTGAGTGAGACACGCAGAGGGGACAGGAGTCCGGGTGGAGGGGCAGGTTCCTGCCCAGACACCCCCCTCATAGTGTGCCACAATTCACACACCACCACCCAGGCCAGGCAGGGCAGACCATATCCTGGGGCGGCCGGGGGGTGGGGTGGGTGGGCGCTGAGCAGTGCCCCCACCCCGACACTCGACTTGGCAGGTGGCTCCCTTTCCTTCTCTCTTCCTAAGGCAACTTTTAAATGCAAAAGAAAAACAAGAAACTGGAATCCCGCTTTCTGGGTCCCTCTCCCCAAACAGCCTCTTGCACTCTGGGCTGTCAGCCGCTCTGCTGCCAGTGCAGACAGACGTGCTCCCTGCGGCGGGGCCAGCTGGGCACCGGGCCCCAGGGGCCTGTGGGGCGGCTGCCTCCCTGCACCTGAGGCCGCGGGGTGACGTGATGCAGAACCCACCTGAGAATCACTGGCTGTGGTAACACCTGCCCCCACGGCCACAGGCCCCGCCTTTCACATGCAGATCAACAGGTACCAAAGTAAGTGCATGGGAGACTCCCGCCGAGGCCAGGCTCTAACCACTGCAAAACGACGCATAAAGCTTCCTGGCTATTTTGCTAGTGTGGGTAGGTTTCTTCCCCCAGGTTGTTGCCATGTGGCCGACATCTAACACATGTGGATTTAAAGACTGACCAAGTGATGACGCTAGACGAGGCCACTGCAAAATGATGACGTTGTGTCACAGTGGTACCACTGTGAGCTTCACTTTCATTTAGAAAACCAAGAGCTTTAGGGAGGCTTTTCAGAAACAACGAGACTATTTTGCCATCATTTACCACAGTGAAAAAAAAATCAATCTATTTCAGTTCCTTAACGTACTGTATTGGCTGTAACTCTTACCTGAGCAAAGAGAGACGAGACAGAAAAAGAAAATCCAGGGACTCAGAGCTTGGGAAGTATTCTGCCGTGACTAAACAAAGTCACCACACAACATATTGTTTTCCCTTTCAAGCAAATCCTGAGCTCTCCTGGGCTCGCCCTCAGGAGGGAAACAAGGAAGGACACTGAGACGGGCGGGGTGCAGCAGTCACATCCCCGGTTTCTTACCTAATCTCCGTTTTTGTTCCATTCACGTTTTAAAAGGGGAGACACTGACTTTAAAAATAGTCATTTATTCTTGTTGCTTTCGTGATCTCTTAAACCTGGCTCATTCAAGCTGAACCGCTTCTGAGTTGGGCTTTAACAGTCGTGCCTACGGAAACCGAGTAGCTGCATCCCACGAGATCCGCCTGGAACAGAGCTGGGGCGAGGCAGGGCAAATTGCGGCCGCGGGCTCCCCACTTACCAGCCGTCCCAGGTTGTAGTAGCAATCCGGGTATTTCCTCCTGTGCTTGATCGCCGTCTGGTAGCTTTGCTCCGCGGCCTCGAACCGTTTGAGGCTGTTCTGTACGATGCCTAAGTTCATCCAGGCCGCCGCGAAGTCCGGCCTGGAAGGGCGTTTCGGAAAGAGATGAGAGGGAGAGACAGGAGGGCCGAAGGCGGCTCCCGCCTCTGCCCTGGGCAGGCTTACTGGATGCTGACGGCCAAGGACAGCAGCTGCTCCGCCTCCTGCAGTGCATTCCTTTCCTTTAGGATGTTCCCGAGGTTGTTCATGGCGTGCACGTACTTGGGGTTTAGTCTGGATGGGGGAGAGAAACCAAGTTGTCTGTGAATGCTCAGCTGTGCCACTGAACTCTCAGGAATCGGCAGAGACCTCTTAAAGTTGGACTTTTTTTTTTTTTTTTTAATATTTATTATGTGGCCCTCCCTGGTGGCGCAGCGGGTTAAAGCACAGCACTGAGAATCTAAAGCCGCTTCCGCATGAGTTCGATCCCCGCCTGCCCCGGAGGTGACCACATGGCGCGGCAGACCTCTCCTGACCCGCCCGCTGCTCCCCTCAGCAGTGGACTTCGTCGATCTGCCTGCTCTGCTCCCCACTCTGTCCCTGGTGAATCCTCTCACAGCCCCTGAGCCTCTGGCCTGTACCCCAGTTCTGTGTGAATAAATCAATCTTTTTTTAAGATTTATTTATTTATTTATGCATACAGAGCGGGGAGCAGAATAGACAGATACACGAAGCGCAGTGCTGAGGGGAGCAGCGGGTGGGTCAGGAGAGGCCTGCCGTTGTGTCACTTCATGACAGGGATAATTCCGAGAATCGAGTCATTGTTTTGTGACTGTGCAAACGTCACAGCGTGGTGGTGCCCAGCTGGCCTGTAGCGTCCTCCCTGCTCCCGGGCTACCCTGCAGCCCGTGGGCCTCCACTGTGTGTGGATCTGTAAATGTTCTTAACCAAGGCGCGGCTGCAGGCGTGACGAGGCGCTGGCCTACCTCACGGCTTCCCGGTAGTATCTGATGGCGGCCGTCTGATTGCCTTTATCAGCCAGGTTTTTACCGACATTGTAGTGGACCTGAAAACACAGAGAATAACTTGGCCATCAGCTGATAAACCCCTTTGTTCAGAGTCGTGGTACCGATCCTGTTTTCTGGGAGTAAGGGCGTTTAAAAGAAGGCCAACCGCCCACCAGAAGCGGAGCTGAAACCCTGCGGCGTGCGGCCTGGTGTGCACTTCACGGGAAGCTGCAGCCACACCTGCAGCTGGGGTGAAGGCGGGAGCACGCCAGGACGAAGGCGGGGGTGAAGGCGGGAGCACGCCAGGACGAAGGCGGGTCCCCAACTCGTCTGTGGTTGCCTTGCTTGGGGGAGAAAGCCCTCTCTGGTTCGTTAGGGGAACCCTGGGGAGGGCCAGAGCAGCTCTGAGAGGACCCACAGGGGACCGTCACCCAGAGAGGCCACGCCTGGGCAGGCCTCCACCGCACCCCTGGCACGGAACACCCGTCTCTGTTGCCTTACACGAGCTCTCCACCCAGAGGCGGCTGTCGGGTCACTCCGAGTCGCCATCTGACTATTCTGAAGAACTGAAATGGTGACTTTTCTATTATGAGAATTTTTAAAGGCTGACGAGGGCGGAACAGCTCCACGGTGCAGGCCGTGGATGTGAAGACTGGGGGGGGGGGGAGGGGGACACGCCTACGCTCTGGGGCCTGGACTGAACCGAGCCGCAGAAGAACTTACTGAAGACCCTAAGTGCCTTGAGCCTCTCAGGAGACAATGCTGGAGATTCACCAATCGGGCCCAGCGTGACGACGCGTCAGTCACCGAGCCCCACGGAGGGTGCCCGGAGGGCCGTGGAGGCGGCTTCTGTCCTGTCCCCCGCCCCCCCAAACCCCCACCCCGCCCCGTCCGACCTCAGGCTGGAGGCAGGCTCCACAGCTTGTGTTTCTTCTCAGCATGTCACACCCACGGATTCGGGTGCTGTGTGTGAAGGGGCGCCTGCGGGAGGCGACTCCCAGCCCCGCTCAGTCACGCCATCTGGTACTTTCCTTAAGGGAAATAATGTTTTTCGTGTGGGGCGGGGCTGCCCGCCCCAATCCCTGCACCGAGTGCTGACACCGCCAAGCCTGGAGATGGGGACCGTGGGGAGGTCACTACATTAAAATGAGGCTGTGAGGGTGGACCCCACGCACCTGGACTGGTGTCCTCATGAGGAGGGGACGTCTGGACACAGACACGGGCCTGCAGCCGCGGGAGGGCCACGCGAGCCCGGGACGGAGCCTCAGGGAACCAACCTGCCCGCGTTGACCCTACATTTCCAGCCTCCAGACCGCGAGGCAGAACTTCTCAGTGGCTGAGTCAGCCCCCCACCCCCCAGGCTGTTTACGTGACTTACCACTAACCACTAATGTTCAAGTGTATACGTTTGTTTACAATCTGACAGAGAAAGTCACGGGTGACAGAATTAGGCTGTACTGTGCAGCCCGCAGTAATTCAAACATCCCGCACCAAGCGCTGTCCATCTCGAGCGTGGTCATCTCCGAACGACAGCACGGCGGCACATTGCTCCGGCCAGCGCGAGCACCTGTTCTGTGTGCTCGGACCCACGTGTGCCTCCCGGCCCCGCCTGCAGGGGCCCGTCCCTGTCTGCTGTGCAAAGACCCGAGTCTGGGGACTCCAGCCTGGGAGCTGCACGCTGGCTGTCCCCCCACAATACAAAGACGCCTCTCCCAGGTATCAGCACACTCCCTCCTCTTCCACCAAAGCTCCTGCCACTTTCCTTTGTTATGAGAAATTCTGTTTTCTCGATAAAAAGCTCAAACTAAGAGTTCAAGTGCCCTCTGCAGTCTGGATGGCGTTCTGTTAGATGCTAGGACTCAAGAGACCAGAAGAGCAGGGCAGAGAGGAGGAGCCTGGCGATTCAGACTGCCGTAATGCCATGGAACTAGTTAAAAATCTGAGACGGCCAGAGGCAAGCTGTCCGTCACTAAGAACCGAGGGCCCAGAGACCAGCCTTCTCCCAGGTTTGCATGGAGGATTACGTGGCTGGAAAAGACTGCTGAGATAAGTCACTGTAAAAACAAAACAAAACAACCCCCTCAACACACAGTTTACTTGCAACAGTGTTTAAGGGGTGAGTGATGTTCCTTACCATGCAATGGAAAACATGGAAAAGCCCTGAAGTCTTGAACTCCTCCAGTCTTATGAGTCATCAGCTCAGGCAATGAGCGGGTACATAAGTCACAGATTGAAAACCAACTATTGTGAGCCAGTTTCAGGCTAACATAAATGAAGTACAAGTAAAAATAAAAGCCAAAAGTAAAAAAAGAAACTAAGTGAAAATGAAAGACACTTTTAATTCTAGCACTTACCCCAGTCTGTTTCTACCAAACCTAAAATATTGTTAAGTGCAGGAAAACCCCAACCCTTGAAGAAAGCTTAAGCTTATTGTGGTGTATGATCTTTTTCTTTGTCAAGAACTCTAGGATCGTCTCACAGTGTTGATAACTAACAGCAGCTATGACACCTATGATCGGGACTCGGCAACCCTCATTTCCATGGGATTCGGTCCCACCATTAACGTTGGCACCCGCCACCTGCCAGGCCTGAGGGTAACGGGAATGCATGCCAGCCTCCGCCTGCTTGGGGACTGAGAGTGGCTTTGTCTGGGCTTCACCCAGAGCCAGAGGGCAACTGCTGCCTTCATAGTCCACTGTTAAGGGGAAAGGACATCCTGAACTGGGCTGCCCTGTAACAAAACCAGCACAGGAAACTCATCCCTTGCAACGGAGTTGAAGGATGCCAGCTTCTCCCTAAATGAAGTCTCTTTCCTAAAATCACCCGAGCTTTTGTGCTCACCAAAAAGGGGAGTCCTTTTTATGACACTCCAACTGCTAGTAGAAAGTAAAAGCTAAAACTCCATCTTGCTCATGCTGAATAGTATCCCCCCAAAAAGTTGGCAAGGACCATCACTCCCAGCTACGTTTGAATGTATCATGTGCATTCTTAAATGTAAAGGAGAAAACCGCATACACAGGTAACTGTGTACACCCCTGGCCTATAATATGAGTCACTCTGGGGAAGACACATGGGTTCCCACAGTACCTACGCACCCCCCCGCCCCACTTCCTGAGCAGCCTGGACCCCACACCACACTGGGTCTCCAGGGAGCCACCCAAGTCACTAACCTCGACATCAGCGTTCCAGCCTCAGTTTCTCCCATTGGCAAAATAAAATAAAATAATACCCTCTCTCTAAAAACCTGCAAGGGAGGGTAATAGAGATTAATTACAGGGCCTCTGGAAAGAAATCTGAGTTCTTGTGGGAAGAACTGTATAAATAGAAGGAGGTAATTACTGCTGCTCAAACAGAAGAGTAAAAATAAAGCAAATCTATTAACATTTATGAAATTAAATCACAGGCAATTTATTTTTAGTGGCACCGAATAAATTGATAGGTCAGCAAATCAAATTAACAATAAAAGCTTGAGTAATTACCGCCTTTATCTAAATCTCGTAACAATAAAACATGAAGGAGGCTCTTTAACCCCACACAAGGAGTCAGTACCTTTTGTTCTATTCTTCACTTCAGAGCCACAATAAGACGTCAGCGTATTCACTGGATTTATTCACTGAATTTTTGCCTGAAATCACTGTTTTTTAAATATAGAATGTGGAAATGAGACAGATTTCCAGACACTTCTTTTTTTTGGCCCAGAGGACCACAGTTAAGCATCCTGGAAAGCTGCAATTTTGATGGCCCAACAAAGCATGCCTTCTTATTTAGGAATCCCTTCCCCAGTAGAAAATTCGTCTAACCTAACCCCTCCGGGCACACAGCAGTCCTTTCTTGTCACCTACTCTCACGCACAGTGAGCTGAGAGAGCGACATTCCAGTACATTCCGGGCCACCCCTATGAGCAACCGACTTCGTTGCAGCCTAAGAGAAACGGGAGCGGAGGGCCCTTGCACAGGGCCCTGAGGTCCCACACGGTTTAGTTTTGCCCACGAGGCAAAGCTGAAGAGAGGAGCCAGCTTCTGGCAAGGAAACACCGCCGTACTGAAGTCTAGGCCGACCTGACCCCGCGGACAGCAGGAGGCGGAGTCAGAGAAGGGCTCTGGGCCTCAAACTCCCCCAGCCGGCACTGACCGCTGCAGGAGGGGCCTCGCGGGGGCGGGCGCAGGCCTGAAAGTGCTCGGAATGGCCTGAGGCTGCGCCCACCCAGCCCCGGCCTGGCAGAGCGCTGTCACTGGGCACCAACCCCGGGGCCCCTGCACCAAGCGGACCTCGGCACATCCTCGGAGAGGCAACATGCGGCTGTAAAGATTTCTGTGACCAAGTGGAATTTTAGTCACTATCAGAAGCAGCGGGCAGACTCCCTCGGGCTCCCCGCAGGCGGCAGCACAGGGTCCCGGACCGGCGGGCGCGCCTACCTTGGCATTGAGCGGGCACACGGACAGGGCGCTGCGGAAGAGCTGCTCCTCGCTCCGCCACTCGCCGCTGCGCACCAGGCACCGCAGCGCGTTGACGAGCAGGACCCCCAGGAGGGCAGCGGCCAGCGGCTTCTGGGGAGCAGGGAGACGCGGTGAGCCGTGGCCCGCGGGCGCCCCCCCGCCCGGCTGCCGCGCCCTCCGCCAGTACCTTCCTCCTCGTGCGTTTACTGAGCGCCTGGAATCCGACGGTCAGCAGCACGCAGTAGCCGGCGCTGGGGAGGTACAGGACTCGCTCGGCCACCACGAAGCCCACGCGGAAGAACAGGTTACTTGCCGGCAGAAACGGGACGACGAGCAGTGCCAGGCCCAGAGTAAGGACCCTGGAAGGCGGGGAGCACTTAACACGGCAATGACAGACTGCTTGTCGCCGCCGGGCAGAGGCCGGGGCTGTGGCCCGGCGGTCTTAGGGTAAGACTGCACAGTCTTGCCCTGGCACTCGGCCCCAGCCAGACGGGCAGAAGCCCCAGGACATGCGGCTCCACCGGAAAGACCCGTGGAGGCTTTGTTCCCTCCCCTCCCCTAACCAGCCTCACGCCCTGCAGCACTGGGGAGCTCAGGGAGTGTTGCTTTCATGGGAAAACATCACCTGCTCCCTGAACTTCACAGGGGTCACAATTCTCCACAAGTTGAAATTTCACAAACTCTGAAGTAGACGGCTATCATGTTGGGGTAATACATCGCCAAGACTTCAGTCAAACCAAGAAACGCTGCTAAAGGAAACTCTTCCGGGGCTAAGCGGTCGTTTCCAGTGTCCCCACGGCAGACGCGGGTATCTGAAGAAGCGAGTTCGTGGCTTCCCCCTGGCCCTGTGCCTAGAGTACTAAAAACAAACCCTCTCCCACGCGGACAAGTGGACTGGGCAAAGGTTGCCGCCCTTTGGAACTGTGAGTCAATTTAAGATGCAGGTAAACGTGGAGCAACAAGAGCGTGAGCCACGTTTTCGCCAACAAGAGGTCCATACACCAGGCGGCCAAGAGGCGGAGGCTACCCCTGGCCGCGCGAGTCACTGTGGGCCCCGGTAAATCTGCTCTGGGTGTCTGCATCGAAGGCATCGCCTGCCCATGCGTTTCTCAGCGCACATCCCCTCGTGAGACTATTCTGAGAAATCGTTTGTCTCATTCCACAAACACTCATGCTTAAGGAAGCCACCTTCAGTCGTTGTCTTTCTCATGAAACACCACAGTTACTTCCTTTCAAGCTGCTTTTCTATTTTTGGGGGGCGAAAGACTCTCTTTGGGACAGCAGTCTAATGCGTACCCAACATTCAGAAGGAGTCAGCAAAGGAGTCACGAGGGGTTTGAAACGCTGTGAGACCGTGGGCATGACACATGTCACTTGCTCTCTCTGTCTGACCGTCCATGACTCTCTGCCACCGCTGGTGCAGAGGAGGCCACTTCCCGGGGGAGGGGCAGGGGATGGTCAGCCATCTGCACGCCTCCTCCTCCCAGCTCACCCCCTACTCGTTGAAGCCAGTGATGAACTCCAAGCAGATGAGCCCCAACTGACCCACAATGTGCATGGGGAAGAAATGTCCTTAGCCCTGAGACCTACAAAACCATCGCCAAGTCAATGCCGCACTTACTAGCAAAATGCTCTGGCCCGCCCAGGGGTGGAGGATCCGGCTGCCCCTTACCTCCTCTTGTGGCTGTCCTCTGAGCACAGGGCTCGGCCGGCCAGGCCGGTCAGGCAGAGCCAGAGGGCCAGGAGCGCCAGCACCCTCCAGTCACCGGCTGACTCAATGAGGGGGATGCAGCCCATCGACCAATCAAAACACAGCCACCAGGGGCACAGCAGCAGCCAGGCGTTCAACGAATAGTAGTAATTGTAGTTTATGGCCTGTCAGTCAAGGGGAAAACGAACACTTACTTGACACGGAACCTGAACATAACGGACCTGCATCTATCCCACCCCACTGTGGAAGCCTACACGCTGCCCTGAGGGGAGCGGTGCAGCCAATGAGAAGCGGCCACCTTCTACGCTGCATATGGAGCTGCAGGGCCAATGCATTAAATGCACTTAGGCTTTGATACATGAAATACAGCAAAGCCACCAGACTGTTCTCCCTTGGTACTTCTGATCAAATGCTGTCCTGTTTACCTGGGGACATCTAACGTCTGTAACTTCAGGATGCGCCTGACAGAAATGTCATCCTTTGGCTCTGTGTCTGGGAGATGCACAGCTCCGAGCCTGCGGCCGGAGCCTCGTGCCTTTGAAGAAGCCGGTCCATGCAGGAGGGTCTGACCCACGGCCTTCCCGTCCCGTGGGCAGGTCAGCGGTTAGGCCTGCCCCGTCCACGACTTTTATAACCGAAGTAATGGCGTGAGGGGGCTCCTTGAGGAGGATGGCGAGGAACCTGACCTAGAAGGAGCCACCCCTCTTTAATTTTAATTTGGAAAGGGGACACAAGGCCTTTACACTGCTCTACTCCCTAGCACCACAAACAAAAGCTGGGTTCATTCCCTTCCAGCCTGCATGAGGGCAAATAAGGAAGGGATGCTCCTTCTTGGGATGTGAGGATGTGACAGAGGAGGAGTGGGAAGGAGGGCTGGGGGGATGACCTGGAGTGGGGCGGGCTCAGCACTCACCCGGACCAACACGCTGTCAGCAAAGGAGGCGGGGTTGTCCACCTCGGTGAAGGTGGGTGGCCCGGTGCCCATGACCTTCCAGCGCCCGTAGAGCACCCCTGCTCCCCCCGTGGCCAAGAGGCTCATTCTGAAGAGAAGGCCCCCGTTCCTGAGTCCGCCGATGTTCTGGAAGGACACCCCAGAACAAATGAAGGTGTGGCCCAGCCCAAGGACAGACGCGCAGGTGTTCTGGGCGCAGACTGGACGCTGTGCTTGAAGGGCAGGCCCTTTCAGACTCCAGAATCACAGGAACTACTTCGCAATGGCATTTTCCAGCTGCTACTTGACATTTTCCACGTCTGGGCCCAGAGAGCCTGCACTCACCTCTAGTGACGCGTCCTTATGTAGCAGCCTCTGGATCACTTCCAAGACGTTCACTTTGCCTATCACCAGGATGTCAAAGATGGCGTTCAGACCCTAAGGAGGCAAGAGCCAGGCGGCCCATGACGGCGGGGCGCTCCAGCTGAGTGAAGCCACTAGAGCTGGGGCGTCTGATGCTGCAGCTCCCCCATGCTAACAGCTTCCGGTAGCGCCTGACAGCTTCTGTCTGGCAGGTGAGGGCTGCTTCTGCAGAGGCCGCTATGCCTACAGGTCCAGACTGGAGGCGAGGTGAGGCGTGGGCCCTACTCTGCCCCCTGCCATGGGCGCTCCAAGCGCTGCGGCTGCCACAGGTGTGTTGACTGGCACACTGCCCACTGGGCGCCCACCGGGGCGAAGTGACTGAACACAGGCGTGTATGTCCACATACGTGCACAGACGCACACCCACAACGCTGTCCCTTAATGACTTGGATCTTCTTGATACGGGGCTTTGTGGCTGAGAAGATCATAAATCAGCAGCAGCCCGTGGTAATTTGCAGGTTTCAGAGCAGAGATGACATCTCCACTTAACCCTCTCCCAGAGAGGCTGGGAGCCATTAATTATCCCAAACACGGGCCAGTGCTGGGTTAATCATTTCAAAGGATCCTGGTTTTACTCACCCAAGCAATACCTGATTTTAGTGGGTCCCAGAAAACCATGTCTGCCTGGGTGCGAATCACTTTCTCGAAGGCAGAAGCCCCCTGTTGGAACACTGCTGTCTGTCTATGCTTTGTTTTTCTGCCCTGTGCCACAATACAGCTGCCCAGGGCTGATGCGATCACGTCTTAAAGATTAAGTCAAATATAATCTGACATTGCCTCCTCCTTCCCAGTTAAATGCAGCATCGAATGCTGACAGTCTAATCGGATTTCTGAAAGCGGCTAAATTTCACTATATATTTTTTCAATTAAATTCAACCTAATTCTTTAATACTTTTCAAATGCTAATGAGGTTACCTCGAGACCATGTTAAATGGTGATTCTGACAGCAGCCTGGGTAGGAGCAGTGGGGTGTCTGTGAGCCTCCATTTTTACTAAATAACACAGTGGGCCTCAACAGACACTTGGAGAAGCAAAGGTTCAGCACAGAGCACCTCCGTGGGACCGTCCTGCCCCAGGGAGCCATCCCAGGAGGGCACAATGGAGGGGGGTTCCCTGGCATCTCGGGGTGCAGGCCACAGCTGCTGCTAGGCAGACAGTCCCACAGGAAAGAAAGATCTAGTCCAAAATACCAATAACACGCAACTTCAGAAACTTTGGCTTAGAGCACACTTTAAAGATAACTTGTGAAATCCAAGTACCTTGCCACAGTAATGCTCATCTTCATCTCAAAGATAAATCTCAATAAAATGCGAGTTTTTGTGCTGGCCTGTACCAAACTCCAAAAAGCCTTGACGGCATGTATTCTTACCCCACTTCTCCCTAACAGAGACTTTCATAGCCACATCTTTGCTACTTCTTCTCTACCTCTGCCTGTATCCCTGACTGCTAGAATTCTCTCTAGCAATGGAAGCCAGGAACTTGGCTAGAATGGAGTAAAAGTGGATTCGAATGCCTGTCCTTTCCCGGGGCTTCACTTCAGATCAGAGCTGGAGGGGTGGATGCCTGGACTCCCTGGACATTCTCACTGGAGGCTGAGCATAATGTCACACACGCTCCACCCTGTTTAATCAGCACCAGAACAAGGATGGGGTCAGCCTGCTGCTGCTTTACAACTGATGGATTTGATGGCACCTCAGAAATACTCTAACTACTCTTTCCTTTTTCTATAGGGCCTCGCCAAGAAAACCAGCTAATGCTCTGTAAGAACGTCTATGTTCCATTTCTACCAGCTGCTGTGCTAGTCAATGAGAAGCCCACTCCCGTGTGAAAGGCCTGGGACAGCACATACCCAGGAGGGTCTAGGGCCACGAGACAGACCTGGGTCCCAGACGTCAAGGAGGTTGCAGAAGTGGGGCTAGCGAGATGTCTGCCTGGGAGGGAGGGGTGCATAGGGTGTGTGGGCCCCTGAGCGTCAGCCTTACCAGCACGGTGATCCCTTGTTCTTTGCACAGCATGGCCACAGCGCCCAGGAGGATACTCAGCAACACCCAGGATGTGGAGTGTCTTCCCTCCTTGTTACCTGTCATTGGGAGAATCGCAGACACAAGAGTCATCCAACCAGCTCTGACACAAGCTATGCAACTTCTGTCGCCCGATAAACTCCAAATGGAAGGGAAAAGCTCTGAAAAATCAGAATTTCCATGCTAACTTATGTTTTGACCTGTCTTTTTTGTATAGTCATAATATCAAAATATTCTGAACAACCATCAGTTTGTAACTGGATTGCCTTAGTCTCATAAGGCACTGCCTGGCCCAGGCAAGCAGGCACTGATCCAGGGTGGGAAATTCCTCTTGAAGTCAAAAGTAATTTTACAATTGGCTGATTAATAATAGCAATGGCTGTTATAGCAAAATCAATATTGTAAAAATAGGCAGTACTAGAACATGTTAAAAAATAACTAGAGTTCATTTACTGCCCAGATGAGAAACCAAATCCCATCACTCTACTATCTTACTTAAGCTTTCTATTGTTCAGCCTTTAAATAAGGATCTTTATTTAAGCTTACACCTTAGTCTTTAAGGAACCTTACTTAAGCTTTCCATTGTTTAGTCTTAAATGAGGAACTTTCCTATATCTCTTTTAGTGGCCAATTTATAAGAAAATGACCTTACTTTGCCCTCTTTTGCCTCTAGGAAGTCTTGATGAGAATGAAGGTCATTAAATAGTAATTAGGGTTAAAGGGACTTTATTTTAGCCAATCATCACTGTGGTAAATATAGCAATGTTAATCTTAAATTTTATGAATTTATGTACCTGCCTTAACTTTAATAGATTGATTTTAAGAGTAATAAATGTTATAATCTCAGCTGAAGGTAAATACCACCCCAAACTGTTCTTAGAAAAAAGATGATTGTGATCTCTCTGCTCAATTCATATGCTAATGTTGTCCCACTGCTTGCTCCTAATATATAAACAAAGTTCTGCTGAGACCAGCTCAGGAAGATTGCACCCAGCTCCCACTCCCCTGTCTTCCTCATGCCCATTCCCTTTTTTCCCCTTCTAGGGTCTCTGCTCGCCGACGCCGCTCCCACCTTAAGACCCTGCCTGTTTTCCCTTCCAAGAACCTGTGATTGGAGCCGATCCCCGACACACCTCAGACTTGTTGCCAAGTCAAATAGCCACAATGCCAACCCAGCGTGGTCTTCTGAGGGCTTCTCTGTGGGTGGCATACTCTGAACGGCCCCCGGGTGTTCTCAGTTGTGCCCCAATGGGCAGGCATGGCGGTGGTAAGATGCCTGGGCAGAGGCGTGGATATGGGCTACGAAGCTCCACTGGGGCTGGGCCCTGGTGACAGGGGAGGTCTCTTCCGAGGGCAGACGAGTGCTTCACACTGTCTGACTGGGAGGGATGGCTTGGGGGAGACCAGACAGTTCTGAACGGTTCTGAAAGCTTGCTAGCATCCCAAGCGTCTCCCCATTCAAGGCCACAGCCATCTGGCCCTCAGTGGTGACCACAGAAAACGTTCCAGACTTTGCCAGATGTCCCTGGAGTGGGTGGGAGGAGGGGGGAAGAGATCGCCCCCATCTCCATCCCCATTGAGACCACTGCCCTAGACCAGAGCCAGCGCCGGGCACGGAATCATGAGCTCCAGGATGGAGCCAGCAGGCTTCCAGGTGGTTCTGTGCTCCTGCAGCCCAAGGCATTCCCGACTGGAGGCCTGCTCACGGCTGCCCCTCCACACTAGCCTGGCTGGGGTGGGGCAGCGTGAGTCCACTGGGTTGTTAAAGTATCCTTTCCTGGGGTGAGCCCTGATTGCCCCCTCAAACGTCTGGTGTGAACTCTGCCCCACAGCAGCGTCTGCCCAACGTCTCAGGCCATGCAGTGCCCAGAAGCCAAGTTCTCTTCGTTGACACCATCAAATCTAGCATATTGGCTCCCATCACACAATCCAAGGGAAATGACGCTTGTATTAATTACCTTCTATGTAGGTAACACCAAAAGGTTACAGTCACAGCCAGAACTGCAAAGCCCTGGGGAATCAAGCATGCTGGAGTGTTTGCATATTTACTGGGACCTGTTTTTTCTCTGGGCATTCCCTAGCAATGAGAAGACAAGGGTTTGCAGATGCCTCAGCTGATGAAAAAATGACAGCCACAAATCCCTACACTAGCCGGGGGTGCCAGTTAGAGGAGAGGTTTGAGAAAGGTTCACAAGTATCACTAGCAGCAAAGCACAGGCCCAGCTGCAGGGCAGTGGTGGCCACAGTCGACAAGACACAGGGCGTGGCGTCCACGTGCCTCTCCCGGGGCAGACAACACCTCATGGGCTGTCACCTCCATCTCGGTATACGGCCCATGTAGCCTCTGTCCAGAACACCCTCCCTGTGCTGAGTCCCAGCAATCTCAGGATTTTCTACGTTAGCAGTTTGCTTGTAAACAGAGGCCTTCAATTACAAATGAACCCACATATTGCCCTGGGGTCTCCTGCAGGCCTGCTCCTCGCCTGCACATGGAGAAGACCCCAGCCTCAGCCTCCGTGTCATGCCTGCTGCCCAATCACAGACCCCCAGCCTGCTCCTGCACGGCGTGCGCTTGATTTGTAAAGCTTCCTCCTCTCCCACAACCTGTGCTGGGAGCTCATAATGAAATGTACTATGATTTCCCAAAACAGTCTCAGTTCTTAACATCAAAAGCGGCTTCTTCGATCATGTTACATTTCTTCCTAGAAAAACTGAATTAGCTTGTATTCTATTTTACTATAACATGGACTAATTCCTCCCCCAATGGACCAGTGGCTTTTGATAGGGCAAAAAAATCTTAGATTCTTCCATTAAAGCACCGGAAGGACTGTAGCTGAAAGCTCACAGTGACATTCCTACCGGGCTGCTTATGTGATTTAGCATTTAGCTAAGTCAGAGATTTAACTGAATACAGGAAAAGAACACAGAAAACTCAGTTTTCAGATTTATTGATAGCCTTCTTCCTCTCTAACCCCGTAAGTTCAAGTCCCACACCCTCAATTTCTGTAAGGACCCTTCCTCCATCTCTTGAATGTTCCATCATGATTCTTTTGGAAGATCCCTACTCTTCACCTTTCTATATGCCCCTGGTTTTCTTGAAACATGTCTAGTATGAGAACACAGGAAAGGTGAAGACACAGTTTCTTTGCTGAGGAAGTTTCCTCGGTTACAGTGATTATTAAATACCATGTCACTTCTCAACAGTGGCGATTGCAAACAGATCAACACAGGTACAAAAACTCTCAGCAAAATAACTGAAGAGACAAGTGGATTCAACAAAACATTAAAAGGAACACACACCTCGGACAGGGTGCAAGGATGCTTCACATTCGCCATCAGTGAATGTGGTACACTGTACAACAAAGAGAGGTAGAACCCCATCAACAAATGCAGTGAAAGCGTGTGAGGTGATTCAGCGCCCACTAACCATACAAACTCTTGATAAAATGGGGCTGGACACAACATACCCAATATAATTAAGGCTGTAGACTATAAACCCACAGCTGAACTCATGCTCCATGGTGGAAAACACTGAAGTCTTTTTCTTTATGATCTGAAACAGGACAAGATTTTCTACTCAGAAGCTCTGTTTAATTTCGTGTTACAGGCATTAGAGCAAGTAGACAACAAGAAGAAATAAAAAGAACCCAGACTGGTAAAAAACTGAAGCTGTCATGATCTGCAGATAATATGGCATATACGCTGATCCCTATGTAGACACACACACACACACACACACACACACACACACACTTCCTAAAGTTGCAGGATACACAATCTTTTGCATTCCTATAAGCAAAGAAAGAAATTAAGAAAACAATTCAAACATATCAAAAAGAATTAAATACCTTGGAGTAAATTTACCAAAGGTGTTGACAGATCTACAGGAAACAATCTCTAGGCATCCCTGAAAGACACAGAACAAGATACAGGCGATGGGGAGAGCCCACACTCACTGATGGGGAGAATCAGAGTGCTCCAGAGAGCCTTCCCACAGAACAATGTGCCGATTCAATGAACTCCAAGTTTGCTTATTTAGATCCAAGCCTTCCTTCCCCAGTCCTGGCCAGGCCAGACATCTGAGAAGCTCTCAGCAGCCAACAGACCAGGCATGCACACACACACGAGCTTTTCCAGAACCCAAGCCACAAACCTTAATTCATTAAGGTAGGAAGAATAATTAAGATCAGCAAAAATCAATCCTGAGAACTTGACATCACCTCCAGCGTGGTCGCGTTCGTGAGTATTTTTATTCCCCCATCAGGGAATTCCAGCTGGCCACAGCCCGGGCCAGCATCTGCATTCTCTGTTCCGTCACCATCCAGCATGTTACTCGGATGCCCCAGTGACCCAGGGGAAAAGCCCACCCTTCCCGTGGTCACCACCTACCACTGATGACAGCAGCAGCAGTGGACACCAGCAGAACAGGGTCCGGCAGGACGTGGGGACACTGGCCTCAGCAGCTCTCCTTGCCCAGCCCGTGTCTCTATTATCTGAGCTAACTCAATCACTTAGGTAAATGGAGGCAGAGGCCAGTGGAGAGGAGGGGACTCAGGGGAAAGAGCCCCCACATGCGCTCACAGAAAGACACTTGTCAGGGCTGACACCCACAAGTGCCAACAGATGTGACCAATTTAATGAAGCATGCGCCTGGACTTGGCACCACATCGTAGTGGGATGATCTTGTAGAAAAAGCGTCACATTATACAAGTGACCCTGTTCATCCTCGCTGCCTTGAAGCTGGCACGGCCTGGCGAGTGTGGGAGCCAAGCCACCCTGCGGGTGCCCCACACGCTCTGCCAGGGAGACACGGTGAGCGGCAGACCCGCCTTCCAAAGCTGGAACCAGCCAAGCACAGCGCCACCCGCAGGAGGAAGCAGGCTCCGCCCTTCTCATCCGCCTGGTGGGGGGGGGGGGGGGGGCAGCCAGACAATGGTGGAACCAGAGACATGCAGAGGCAGAGAAGAGAATCCATGTGAACATGTCAGAATCCCTGGGGAAAGGGTCTGAATGCAAGAATCTTATTCTATGTGAATTCCACAATCACCCCAGTCCTCAA